CTTGAATTCAATTCAAGAATCCTAGTCAAGAATCTTTCAATGAGATGAGCCATCATCACATTCTGATACATATCAGATGTACTCATTTTGAAATTTTGATTTATTTTTAGTTTTTGGTGTTTCAAATTAAACAGATTTAAGTCAAATCCTTTACTACTTCCTGTAATCTTTGAGAATTGCTTCCACATTCTTTCCTCTTTTCTCATTCCATTTTCATCTGCTAATGATACAATGTGTTGTGTATCAATCCAACCATTTGAATTTCCAAAATTTGATATTTCCTTCACATAATAATTCAAGTTCAGATCACATTCTTTGTAAAAGTTTTGTTCTTCCAACAATGTCTTTTGGATTTGGATATTGCCACAAGGCATATTCCATGGAAGAAGCTTCAATGCAAAAATCCTTTCATTTGCTTCTGAAAACCTGTTTACACATCCCATGAGATATGGTTCTTGAATCTTAGCTAAGTGATGAGTGAAGCTTTGTGTGGTTGGAAATAGTAAGTGCCACTTGATATCATTGGTAATTCTGTAAAAGATAACCAACATTTGTATTGCTATTTTGGTGATTGATAGTTGTCCCTGTGAGACTAATCCAAATAGAGAATCAGACTCATTCTCTCTCTTTCCCAACTTAAAAACCACCTCATCTGACTTATGAACTGTATTCAATACATAGTTTATCATATTTACTATTAAGGCTTGTAAAGATTTGGTGTTGATCATTATTTTCCTTGAGGTACCAATAGTTGAATTGGAGTCATATTCATTTTCAAGAATATTGATAATCCATTCTTGAAGAAAGAAATGTCCTTGTATATATTCTCCTGATTTTAAATACCCTATGCTTCTAAGAAATCTCAAGTTTACAAACCAGAGAATTTCAGAAAACTGTAAAATGTTTCTTTGAGCATCTGTGGTTATTAGTTTACTTGTTTGGTGAGGGTTCTTCTTATTCATAATTCCTGCAACTCTTTGGCTGAATTCATCAATTTTAGACTGATGGTTTGTTTTAAATCTTTGATCTTCTGGATCAGAATCATAAGTTGACATTCCAAAGATCCAAGCTGCCATTTGATTTTCCATTGGTTTGTTCATTTGTTTTCTTGCCTGATCACTTTGTATTTGCTCAGATATTTTTTCTTTTCTCTTTAAAGATTTCTTGGAATTCAGATTTGATTTTAGTTTCTTTCTTTTATCTGATAAAATATTGCTTTGAAAAAGTCTCAAATCTCCACCAGGTGAGTAAATTTTTTGATAAATTGAGTTTCCTATAGCGTTTGATTGACTTGCAGTTTTCAAAAATGGATTCTCTTCTGTGCTAAAATTTTTTTCTTTATATTCAGACAGAAATTTATTGGAATGCAATTCTTCAGATGGTGGAAGTGTTTTTGTCATGTGTGAACCACTAACTATACATTAGTTGAGCCCAAAAAGTACAAAAATCATGTTTCAGCTCTCTCTTTCATAGAATCCCAGATAGAAAAACTTACTGGAAGTATCTGGTTGACTGAGATTCTCCTGCCCTGTGTATTTGTTAGGCAATAGATCTGGAGCAGAAGAAATGTTTTCCTGGGAAGTCCTCCGATTATTCAAGGACAAGTTCTGATGTCCAGTGCTGGGAGATTTCCATGTTTCAAAATTCTTGGGAAAAATTCCTTTATCAGCTACTCTGGAAACAGTTTCTCTCTTCTGTGAGGTTATTTGATGATTCAACTTCAAGGAACAATCCTCATTCAGGAAAGTGGGACTTGTTCCAAATAGGTCCCCTTCTAAATGTTCATTAGCCAAAGAAAGCTTTTGTTTCTTGATCCCAAGTGGGACTTCATTTCTCTTTGAAGATAAAATTGAATCTAATCAAAATGAAACCCATTATGTTTAGGATCATATTACTGATTAGACTCCCTTGTGAAAAGAGCACTGAGTTAAGCCTACCTTTATTAACATTCTTCTTTGAGGAGAGATCACAATCTGAGGATTTACCAGTATAGAGTTGTAGCCATTCATGGTTTCCAAAGTCCAAATTCAAGTCCAATGTTTCCTCTGATTGATCAGACAAGGGCCTCTTTTTGGTGATCCCTATGAGTGAAGATGTTCAATTTATAATTGGGCAAGCCAAAAGGAGAAGTCAAATTGGGAAAACTTGCAAGTCTAAGACATTTACAAAAGTCCAAGTTCTCACCAAGAAAGTTTATATCCTGAGCTTCTTTCATCTTTGTTGACATTTCAGATTGAGAACCTTGCCAAATTGGAATCCCAGCAACTATACTCTCAGAATGATTAGGTTCCCCAACCACCCCTGTGGAGCATGAGTTGGCTGATGATATTGATAGTCCCAAAACAGCATGAACATCAGGACACTGCTGCAATATGTTATACTGGTGATTACTCACCAGTGCTAATTGGACACAAAGTACCATGTAACTGAATTCTGTCTGCATGATTACTTGAAAGACTCAATTCCAATGGGACAAAGTCAAGAGTTAAAAAACTGAAAAGGAATGAATGAGTTAACTGACTTGAAGTTTGAGTTTGAGTGATTAAAAGGGTTACCTTTGGTGATCTATTTCTGATTTGACAGGCTTCAATTCTGATAGTGCACCTTGTCCTAGTTTAGCAGCTATAAAGAAGAAAAGAACATGGAGTAAAGACATTGATGAATATCTGTGGAGAAGTGTCATGCTTGGTAGTGACTGCAAGATGGCAAACGTAGGTCCCACAGAAGAAAAGAAAATATACCGCTTACACAGCTCCCAATCAAAACATAAGCCCCACAGAACCCTAATCAAATTTGATTATTATGAAACAAAGGGACTCTATCAAGTTACAAGACATATGTTTGTGTTTAGTACTCTTTTTGAGGCAAGTCACAGTGCACAAACACATGGCACTGGACATATCAATCCCTGAGTCATGATTAAATTTTGTTTGATGAGCTTCAATTCCTACATACTGGCATAAATAATGTGATGTGTCAGCTATGAAACCAAAGTAAGTCAACATCAGAGATTCATTGAAAAAAAAATCATAGATGAAACAAAAAACAAGAAAGATAATATTGAATATCAGACCCCATTTGGCATCCATATAATGGAAGCAATATATTGCTATTTTTGTCTGTCATCCTGTGTGACATCTGATCAGGCCCACCAAAACCTTGTCAGATGTCCCAAGAATGTGCAACATATAATTGCTGCCAAAGGGAGCCCAAATAATCCATCAATCTTTCAAAGTATGAAGCTTGATGTGTTGAGGGTAACTAAGGTGACAGGAGAGCTAAGAGATGATGAAATTTTAACCGGAGAGGCGGAGAAATTTCTTTGAAGAGAAAAAATTTTTGGGCAACAAAAAGTGACTTTTTGTTGGAAAGACTCAAGGGTTGGAAAAAGAGGGTAAGAGCCAACATGTTTTTTACTTAGAGGAGACTACACGTTAAATAGTCTACATACAAGAGGTTAAACATGTGGTTGAGAGAAAAAATGAATATCATAATGAATAACAAAAATCAACAAATTCTTGAATAGATGACTGGAGCAAATGACTATTGATAAAGACTAGACCAGGGTTCAAAGACTACAAGGATTGCAGCACTAGACAAAAGGACAAGATACCACCCAGAAACTAACAAAAATTGTATAATAATTTGAATTCTATTATTTAATCATTATTAATTAAAAGACTAAACAAAAAGGATTTTTAGGGATGATGAGAGAAAGAGACAAAATTCCAACAAGAGAGATGAGGGGGTGTCAAGCACATTGAGTCAAAGTATAATTATCATTCAGTGAGGAAGGAGAACCAGAGAAAACAACTAGGCTATATACAAGCACAGTATAGGCTAAGTTGTGGCTGTATAGATTAGAAGCATGCCAGACTAGACTCCTAGAGAGATGCTAATACAATATTCCAACATGATGAGCATCAATGTTTGTGGAATCACTAGGATGGACTGGAGTGGAGATGAGAAGACTACTGAGTTGACAAGCCGTAATTTGCTTGCTACATGAGCACTCATTTGAGGATGAACACCAGTTACTGGAGCAGTCCGGATTCTGTCCCAAAAACTGTTTCCGATTTGAACATAGTTTGATAGCAGGGTTCACAATGAGCTTTTGGCTTCCTGAACCCGGCTTGACATTTTCCTGAATTATGAAATCCTGAGCTTGATTCAAGCCTTAACTTAAGCTCAGAATTGCAACTCAGGAACCGGATCTAAGGCTTCCTGAGCGCAAATTAAGCCTTCAACTTCACAGAATCTTTCCTCGATCTGTCTATAAATATTATGCTTTATTTTGTGTAAAAATTAAGCCAAGGTTTGAGTGCTCCAAAATACTGAGTAGCTTGCTTGATTTTCTTCCTGCCAAAATCCTATTGTGAGCCCCGCTCATGGTTTGTGAGCACATGGATCTTCAACGCATATGCAACTCTTCTGGGGTTTCACTCGGATGTGTCTGCATCTATCATCAGTAAGCTTACATACATAGAAAGGATTGATTTCATGACTATGACTATGCTTCCATCATACAAACTTACTGGCACTGTCACTAATAGGAGAGAGCTAGGTTATACTTTATACAAGTTTTTTTTTTTTTGATTATACAATGCACAATCCATGCATAAATGCTCTGGATTGACATGGGACATTGTGGACCATGATGTTTTTTTTTTTTTGTAATGAGAAAGACCACCTGAGACCCCAATATAAAGCATCTGAGTGAAGTACTTGGAAAAATGCTTGTGTTCAACGTACGTTTCTCTCAAGTAAAAACACACACACATCTGTAATTTCTTGGTGTTCTTGTCTGTCACTCAATGAAAAAAAAAAACAGCGAAAAGAATCTGATAAGAACAAATAAACTCAATTAATGTAGATTAATGAGCCAATATGAATCTAGAACGGAGAAAGAAAGAAAATAAAAAAAATGCTGTCAAGTACAACAATCAAACCAAAGAAGACCAACCAATGACCCACAGGATGGATGATAAAAAGAAGTTGATTCAGAGTGCACCTTGATGGAGAGATGAGGATGTGTTTTTTTCAGACGGACTAGAAGAAGGAGGATGAGGTAAATGAAGATTAAGATTAAGATCAGAATGAAGGGGTTGGCTGCGATGAATGTGGAGAGATTCAGCAGTGGTCAGAGAAGGAGGAGAAGGAGACGGAGGGGAAGGAGACGGAGAAGAGGGAGAGGAATGATCCGAATGGACATTATGAATATGATTGACATGCTCAGTTTGTGAAGAGTCTTCTCTCGAGGGCGGAAGTGAGGGCGATAAGGAGGAAGAAGGGGATGACTTGAGCGATCGATGGTCATCATCATTGTCGTGAGTCGGTTGATACTGATCCTGATGGTCATCAGGTGGTAATTCTGGGGGTGACAAAGGTAGACGTGCAGTCACTTTGGACGAGGACGACCGCAGAGAAAGTGTGGTTTTTCGCGGCAATGAGTCCGGATGATGGTCGGCTCCTCGTGGCGTAGATGGTGAGTGATGTGATTGAGACCCTTCTTCCTTTCCAACATGGTTGTCTGAGGTGTCCAGTTCAATCGTACTCGTATCATTCTCATTTTCCCTAAGATTAACAAACCGACCAATTCATTTTCAAATCAACCTTTCCCGACATTTAATAAACAAAACGCTTTACCCATTACGAGTTATTGGACTGGATTCCAACGTCAAAAATAAGTTTTTCAAGTTAGGTAGAGTGTGTCTTAAGTCGCTCACGACAACTTTTTGGTGATACAAAATCTACATTCACAGTAAATAATCACAGTCAGCGATTCGTGTTGTTGCCAATTTCTTGATTTTCATTGAGACGAAGGTTGGGGATTGAGAGAGATTGGGGTTTGTGGAAAGACTGACTTGTTCAATATTCTTATTCAGTAGAAAGACGGCATATTCGAATCTGAACCGATCAACCCCTTTGAAATACAATGGAAACCTAAATGAAAAAAAAAATACGAAGAGAACACATATTGTCAATGAACATTAACAAAAACCCAAGTTAGGAGTAAACAATCACCTACGAACGAGGTCCAGGGATTCTAGAGACGAGGTCGGAGACGAGTGAGCGGGAGCCGATGAAGTTGACAGGATAGAGCAGCGGGACGGCCAGATAGAGGGCGAGTAACTGGACGAGATGGGCGACGAAGCCGAGGGCGGTAGAGACGATGAGATCATCATCTGCGAGATCGAGTGGCTTAGAATTGAAGAACTGGATCATCAAACTTGGCGTGGTTCCTGTTGTTCCAATCGCTGCTGATGATAAGGGAGATTTGTTTGAGAGAGACTGAGTAGGTTCTAGATTGGGTAAGATGATGTTGGCGATCGAGAAGAGTAATAAGCGCGAGACTGATGGGTTATTGGTCGATGAAGAGGCTGAAGCAGAGGGTGAGATGGGCTCGATCGGATAGATCGTGGATAGGTCGACCACCAGCTCTGAGCGTCTTCTGCTCAGCTCTCGTCGACATGCCTCTCGTTGTGGTAATTCGCTTCCCAGCAATCGCTCGCGTTTCTCGATCAGATTTTTCAGTCGTGCTTCAGTTAATGAATCTCTTGCAGCCTCGTTCAGTTTTCGTCTCCTCTTGAGCTCTCCCTGTCGTTGACGTAGTTGATCCTGTACTGAAATCCACTCGAATTAGTTCATCGGATGGTTCTTCCAGGTTTTAGTAGGAGATCTTCTAGTGGTCACACTAACATCTTAACAACCTGATTTCAGTTGAGGTCTGTTGCGAGTTTAATCGGTCGAGATTCTGGTGAATTTCAGAAAGCTTTCTGGACTAAAGAGCCTCTTCAACGATCCATTGAGAGAAAGTATTAGTCATTAAAATCGTCCAAGAGAAGGAAGGATGATAGAGAGATGAAGAGTAGTTGAAGATAATAGACTGACCAAATGGAACTGACTATTTTCCCGAGCATGAACCTTCAGAGTCCGTTCGACTATCCTAATCTCCTCTTGGGTTGGTTTTAGTTCCTCTTCTTCTTCCATCTCAAGCTTGAGTCTTCTTCGGTTGATGTTCTCTTGGTGACATTTATTTATGGAAACCAGAACACCCCACCCAATGACCTCTTCCTTGCCCCGAGGGCACCAGGGGTAAACCCCCGAAACTTAAACCCTGTCGGGCATTCTCCACGGGGTATCAACTCGGGAAGTTGTGTAACTCGAAATTCACGCACAACTTTACAAGTCAAAGAGAAAGAGACATCGAAGGACATCGACGATCGCTATGAGCCCAATTCCACATAATACTTATCTTGATGAGTGAATTTGAGTGGGCGAACACCTCAAGTGGCCCTTGGGCCTTCACAGGACGTCTCTCACTAAAGCGCGAGCCACTACAAGACCTTTCCCCGTGCAAAGTATAGGGTCGGTCAAGTGAATGCAAGACGGTTTAATGTATATATATATTATTATTTTTTTCGATTTACTATTTCTATGTGGATTCGTTGTATCCTTTTGAGCATGTATCAAGCCGATAGCAGAAGAAAAAGCAGAAAACGAAACACACCAAATGGGAAGAATGATGATAATAAGGATGAACACATCAAAGGAAAAAAGCGGTATGTAAATCGATTGATTATTGTGTCAAGCGCCGGATCGAACAAGACCAAAAACAAAGTCAAGCAATGGAAACCAAGAAAGCCCAAATAAACAAATATGTGATAATGATAATGATAAAAAAAACGGTGTGAAATAAGAAAGCAGCCAGAAACCAAAAACAATGTGTATGGATGTATGTATGGATGTGCGTATGCATATAGGTATTCCAATTGCTTTAGACAACAAGAGTGATACTTACATAGTAAACGAAACGGAAGTGGGAATGGGGGAAAAGGAAGCGGGTTAGAAACACATCCTTGAGCCAAGGGAAACTCTTTCGAGCCATAAAATAAACAAGCGAATATTTGTAAGGGGGTGGGTGGGGGGACGGAAGCTTCGATGTTGTTTGCGTATGAAAAAAAAAAAATAGAAAAAGAAATGGAATGGATAAAGGGAGGAAAAAAAAGAAGGAAAAAAGAATCGGGAATCTTGTTGATATAGTAGTATTATATATAGCAAGGAAACTAGTGTCACATAGCATGGGAAATCGATATATAGTAGAATGAGAAGAAATGAAGAAGAAATTGAAAAAATATCAATATCAATACAGCGTGAAGATCTCTTTATTGGTATTTTAATGACAAGCCATTGGAGATCAGGATGGCATGTCGGTTCTTTTGGTTTTGTTCCCTTGTTTTACCAAGTCATGCGAGATGCCCGATCGAAGAGGAATTTTTGGTTTTTGGTGTGGCACTGAGCCAATGGTAAACCCTGTCGAAAGACGGGGTCTCGTCCAGGTGGGGGGGGGGGGGGTGGTTGGTGAGGGAGGTGGTTAATGATGGAGGTGGTTGATAAGGCAGGTGGCCGGTAAGGGAGATGGCCGATGAGGGAGATGGCCGATGAGGGAGATGGCCGATGAGGGAGATGGCCGATGAGTGAGGTGGCCAGTAAGGCAGGTAGAGGGAAGTAGGCAGGGAAGCCAAGTGGGCGGTGAGGGGAGTGGGGGGGGGGGGATGAAGGGGGCTGGGGCGAAGGCTATTGTGCCTAAGCCTGATGACTGGCAAGGTCATCCTCGTCCTCCTCGACGATCTTGGAGTACTGTGAGGAGGACTCACTGTTTTGTCTAGCCCCGAACTTGTCTCGCGAGCGGTGAGACTCGCCGCGGGCTTGGCCGAAGATCGGCTGCTTCTGGACGCTGCGGCCTGACGACTCTGCTATCACATAGGTGTAGCTCTGGCCCGTGAGAGACCGCAGCTCACGCGTCCTGAACTGGTTCAGGTCGCATGTCGGTCGCTGCGATGGCTCGGGTCGTCCATCCGCACGTAGCTCCCCTCACAGTGTTGGGGAGAGTGGGCGAAGTACTTGGCATAGCCGCCCTCGAGGATATAGACCTCTGGGTAGTGGAGGGCGGGGTAGTGCGGCATGTTCATGTGCCTATCTTGCTCACGAAGGTACTTGGCACTGCAGGTTCGCAACATCAAAAGAGAATAAGTCTACACGATGGCGATAGAAGGGAGATGAGATGATGATTGAATTACTTACACCGTAGGTGCCCTCATGGCAGAGTATTCACAGTGGAATACTACTACCACTTTCTTCTTCCGTCCCGCCGAGTCTGCCTTCCCGGACTCACTGGGCAAAGGCACATCACTTTGCCCGCGTGCGAAGATTTCTCCTTTGAGAAGCATGCTGTCGACAGCCTTCTTGTCCTGGATGTTGATGGCAGCTCGGATATGTCCGCCATCAAATTCGTACCCGAAGCGACAATCCACGATGACCTTGTGGGAGATGCTGTCGTCGTACGACCCTTCTATGAACCGGTCCATCGTCTCCGGTGAGATCCGCATGAGACCGTCGTTGGATACCTTATGGCAAGGTAGGATCTTGCCGGCTCGCTCCTTTTCACTGAACGGCATCCCCACAGGACTCTCGACCGCAGCGCCCATGGTAGCGACCAACGGCTTGACCGGACTCTGGTAAGCCATAGTGTGAGGGAAGGGGGGAGGAGCCAATGAGCTCGAGGGACCAGGTGCCGAAGTCTTCCTGGTCAGGTTCCGCACCGAGGAGTCGTTGTAGCTGGCACTCCTGTTCGGGCGAATCGGGCTCTCAGAAGTCTTAGGCCAGGTGCCGCTGACCAAAGGATTGGCGGTTAGAGAGCCCCGGGGCACTGGCGAGCAGTTGAAGATCGTGCTGGCATCCAGCGACTCATCATCATCTTCGTCGGGGTCAACGACCATGTTATTGCCTTGGAGGAAAAGGCTCATGTTTCCAGCTTTGCTGGAAGCGAAGCTGATGGCTCTGCGAGTCTTCGAGGCAGGCCTTCCACTAGCGTCGCGTTGGCGGTTGACGACGTTTCGCGTCGTCGACGTGGATTGATGGCGACCAAAAAGTGTCGCGCTGCTCTGTACCACACCTAAGCCAGGACGCCGAGGAGCAACAGCAATTGCGGAGGCAGAGCCCAGGCTGCCCTTGCCGCTGTGTTGAGGACGACCGCTGGGAGGGATAGCGACCGAGGGGATGTTCGACTTGGAGGCTGGGAAACGAAATCCGGACAGTGAGCGTTGCCCGGCTTTGCGACCCAAAGTCATGTTGGCCGCCGCTTTGATGCTCGGGCTGACGGTGTCGCTTGGCGACGAGGATGAGAGGAAGGGCGAGAGTGCCCCAGTCTGCTTGACCGGTGAGCGGGTGTTTGGTGCAAACAAGCGGCCGGCCTGAGACTGTGAAGGAAGAGCCAATCGGGGAGGGCTCGGGACGCGTTTGTGGGCACCCGGTGCGCGACTATGAGTGCTGCTACCGCTGCCCCGACGATGAGTGCTGCTGCCGCTGCCCCGACGAGAATAGGTGACTTGGAAGTCGTCCTCCTCGTCATCCGACCGACTTCGTTTCCCAGTGCTGCTTTGACTGGTTGAGCGCGATGTGCGCTGTCGGAAAAGAGGAAGGCCAGTCTGCTGGTCCTCGACCTCAGCTCCCATCGAAGAACTGCAGATGTTCATCCCGCAGTCTTGCGTCGGTTGGACATTGACAGGAGAGTCGATGTCCATCCCATCGCTACTGGCCCGAGGGATGGGGCAAGGTGACTATGTTCATAAGAGGAGGCACATCATAAGGAAAAATAAATGTCAGGGCCCTGTAGTTTACTTCTCTTGTTGAAAGAGACCGCTGAAGAATTTTTAGAAGGAAAAAAAAAACTTACAGATTTCTGGCCAGGTCTACCTGGCACGGAATCAGTGGATAGCCTCGGTCGCGAAGGTACCTTCTTTATCCCGATGGCCCGCCGAGTTTCACTTGTGGTCGGACTGGCCATCCAGTGAGTCTTCGGCTGTGAGTGCGAAGGGCCCGCCGCGAATGGGTCATCGGAGAAGTGAAACCCGTTTGATTGCTGAGAATTTTTGGGTATACTGCAGCGGCGTCGGGTCGGGGCGGGGGAAATGTCCATGCGACATGGAGATGATGATGGAGGCATGGCGTTGGGGTTGGGCTCGAAGAGGTGAGCTGGAAGGAATGGGCTCTTGGCCATAATCCGATCACGACCATTCGAAGGGAAGGTCGTCCCATATGGATTGGGAGACGGCGTTGGAGGGGCCGTGGCGATGGACCTGAGGATGAGGAAAGAGTTTCAATTAGTTAGTATCGATTCATGTCCTCAAACCAGTTGCCCATCATATGATTGAAGGGACGCGTGCTTACATGGAGGTTGCGAATGAGGCATCTAATGTTGGACTGGAAGCCTCGTCCATAGCTTGCTCAGCTGGTTCCTCCTCCTCCTCCTCCTCCTCCTCCTCCTCCTCTTCCTCCTCGTCATTGACCTCTTCCTCGTCATCGACCTCCTCCTCGTCGTCGACCTCTTCCTCGCACTCTACATCGTCGTCATACTCTCCTTCAGAAGCGTGTTGGTTGAAGTCGTCCGCCATATCAACTTGGTCATCATCCTCGAGCATGTCAGTCTCTTGGGTCTGGTCACCGTATTCTTCCTGGTCTTCAACCTCGATGAGCTCATCGGATCCGGCCAATCTCTGGTCATCCTGGTGCGCGTGACTACTACGGTTAGCTCCTCGATGGACACGTGCTGTGGAAAGTGGGGAAGGCTGAGCCTCGAAGCGGCGGAATGGATGGTGTAACTGGTGGGCAGGTGTAGGAGAGGAGGAGACAAGATGTGAGGATGCCATCGTGGGTAATAGAGGTATATGTCTTGGGGTAAGGACGCGAGATCAAGAAATATATCTGAGGACAAATAGAAGGATTGAGAGATCGACAGTAGGACTAGCGCCGATTGGGGGTATGAACAAGCAACGTGTCACACGGAAGATGTCGAGCGGAATGTGGAGGGATGGAATGAGTTGGAAGTGCTCAGGGTGGTAATAGACCAGCGGTACTGCTCATTCAACAAACGGGTACGCGTCAAAGATGTTTAGCGGAGATGCTTAGGCTTGAGTCTCAGTAATCCTACTGTAAGGGGGACGATGATGAGCAACGTCTTTAGACTGGGATAAGGCAAGCACAAGGACGGTTACAGTTCGCAATAAATATCTAAAAGGTATGTTGTTGTAGTGGCTCAAGAAGTTTGTTCTAGAATGGTGTATGTCCGATGTCACAAGCTCGAGAGAGGCAGTTGTTGTGAGTGGATGGGGGACGAAAGAAGAGCAGCCAGTGGGTCTGATGGCTGGTATTTATGGACAAGAAGGAGGAGGGCCAATTGGTCTTGTAAGCATGAGTGAGCCTTGGAGGTGTGTACCGTGTGTGCCGGCGTATGACGAAAAAAGAGGGTGTAGTGCAAGGAGAGTTGGATCCTGGATGAATTTTTCGACCAAGGGAACCAAGGAAGGCCGGTGGGGTGACTTGGTGGTGGTAGGTGCTGATCACAGAGGCTGTTATGTGAGGTTGGTTAGACTAGGAGGCGGGAAGGTGAGTTTGTTTGAGTTGTTGTTCCTTCTTTTTTTTTCGCCTTTTGGGCCAGACTGAGGTCGTAAAGGGTTGAGAATACTGGGGTGGTAAGGAGACAAAGTAGAATAGTACAAGGTCGTTGGATGGCTCGGGTGACTGGTGGTGGTGGGAGTGGTAGGAGGATGCTGATGTGTGAGTGAGTGTGACTAGTAGGTTTTGTGGTACTCTTCTTCAATAGGCTATTGTCGACGTGTTGAGTTGTTGGGGGAGGAGGATGCTTGGTGGATCTCTGGGAGATGGCATCTCTGGTCGAGCGTACTAAGGAGGCAGAGTGGTGGTAGTAAATAGGTAGAGAGAGACTAGGCAGAGGGAGTAGAACTAGAGGCTTAAGAATCGCCAGGAATAAGGGAAAACAGTTGGACATAGCGAGATTTGGGGGACATGGTGATTAAAACAAGGCATCCAAAACCACCACGCACCTTCTTCACCAGCCAGTCACACCATACATATTTACTCACACCTGATACACAGTCATACATATACACAAATGAGTATCGGACGAGCCAGGCAAGCAAGGTGGTTTACATACATAAATACATGGGAGGCCATCAGATGCAAGGGAGAGGGGACAGTCGAACTCTGAAGAGAGAGAGAGAGAGAGAGAGAGGAAGTTTAGAGGCTGCAGAAATTGTAAATATGATATCAAAGATCCGATCCGATTCCGAGCAGGAGTTTAGCGAAACTGTTTGAAGGCTTTCTTCGGCGAAGTGGTGTTGTTGTAGAATTGACAGACATGGAATGAGAAGGATGAATTGTCAAGAAGAGAGTTGTCAGGAAAAAAAAGAAAAAAGCAGCCTTCCTCCTCCACCCCACACATCCGGGCTGCACACGGCTTGACAACCCAAACCCGCCCGGCTCGGGGATTGGGCTTTCAGTTGAGTATGTATTTACGTGTCTTCTGATGTCTCTGGCTGACGAGGGATAGCAAGGGTCGAGTTAAAAAGACGGATGTACTCGAGTGTTTGTATTTAGGGCTTGTACGAGCCTGCTTGATCTGACATTGAGTGGTAAACCGGTATGGATATTCTCAAGATGTATTGATGTAAAAATCGAATATTAGACTTCGGTTCCTAGCCAGCGTCATCTTCATCCGCGGTCCTCTCAGTGTAATATGTAGTTGTATATGTCAAATGTGTTCATTTTTGGTACGAAGACAAATGACTACATAGAGTGTTATTGACTCAGGCAGACCCGCAAGGCTGAGTCGAAGGGAAGCACAGGCTAGCTAGAGTGAGCCAAGCTGACAAGACAAGTGTCAGTTGACGCTCGAAAACGAACTCAGGATGTAAGTAGACTCATCCACTCGATTCTTTACTATTATTTGTTACAAGCTCAATCCAAGGAGAAGCCTTTGAGAGAATGGCGAACCAGAGTAGTGCGAGTTTGGCTATCCATGTTAGAGCTCTAATTAAAACCGGGGATGGGAAAGTGGATTGGTGTGAAGTTGAACAGAGCCAGTTTCAAAGAAATAGATTTCGAGAAGAAGAGATGATGATGATGAGCTGATGACTTGGATTTCTACCGCCTCTTGACTGTTCCCTCTCAGGTTGGGTGAGCATGTTGAGGATGACCGATTTGAGCTCGGTGATAGTTTTGGAAGGCTCTAATGGAACGAATATGTATGTAAGTTGGTGATGGTTTTTTGGATACATAGAAATCAGAGCCAGATGGGCTGCTTCTGATGGCATAGCTGATGGTTGTGCTGCTGCTGGTGCTGCATGTGAGGAAATAGATTTACCCTCTCATCAACATCAAGCCTCATAAAAGCGAATGGGATTAGCACTTCAAGAAGATGTGCAAAGATGTGTACGATTTTGTTCGGGTTTTTTTATTTTTTATTTCTTTTTATAATAATATTTCAACTTTGATAGAAGAAGAGGGCGCTCAAAGAGAAGCCTTCTTCTCTCAGCCAATCAACACCGAAGACGCTGATCAGTGATCTCGCGTGCTTTTGTGAGGAAATCTGATGAGCAAGCAATGCCAGCTTGGTTTCAAGGAAACATCAACGATTGGATTTGACAAGCACTCCGTTTACCGCCAGTGTGATAGTGTATGGCTTCGAACTGAGTCCATGGGAGCCGGCTGATGTATTGTACATCTTAAGTGCATAATTCGGGCTCATTCATCTTGATTCTTTGGAAGTTGGGATGGGAAGAATCCCCTCGGTTTGATCGGGTGCAGATTTCCCAGTCTTGTGAATCTTCAAGGGTCAAGACAGGTCAAGACTCGAAAACGCTGTTCAACAGTTCAAACTTCGGATGATTGGGGGCAGTTGCGGACCCACGTCTCCCCCAACAATCTGGGTCCAAGATAGACAGATCCGTATGAGAGATCACCCGGATGAGTCATGTGCCAGGCTGACTGCAGTGGATGAAAAGCAAAAACAAAGGAGCTCATGGACTCCTGGCTGGAGGAGGTCGAGTTCTGAAAGTCGATTCGATTGGGTTCAGTTCATATAAATAGCTAAAGATGTTGTAAGCACACATTCGAGTCCGACCAATAATGCTGTGCCATCAACTGTGGAGTTATCGCTCTCCGAAACTCAACAAGTCCTTCGCCGCACATCCCCCCACGGCCACCGCCCGCCGCCGACATGAAGAAAGAAACCAATGACCAACACCATGTCGAAATTGTTATCACCGAAAACTACAACATCGATCACATTCGAATTGAAGTGACCCACACAAATCCGAAAGCATTGATTGAAAGAATGCGGAGTCGAGATGATTATATGTAATAGATGGTGCTGCTTGTTCAAGTGGCTCATCATATTCATCGCAAAACTCCAGATAGGAGAATCATGTCGCCATTGAGGGCTTAAGTCATCCATGGCGTCCCCACTCCACAGGCTATCCACACACCCCGTCTGCAGAACCCAATCTCATCCTTCCCGTCATATAACGGACCTAGATACATATTCTAAAGAAAGTGGTCAATTTGGAACGGCCATGCTGCAGACGGAGCACTTGTGGACGTGGACTTGTCAAGAGGCTCGTGGCGAAGAAGAGGCGACGGTCACGGAGATGAATGCGAAAAAAAAAAAAACATGAGATGTAATCTCGTTCGCCTCGGTTTGGTCATGGATAAGTACCAAGAATAATATGAGATCGTCGATTCTCCACTTCAAGCATATATTTAAACACATCCCTCAAGCTGATTGTAGCCTCGTGAGCTCACCCGAACAGCCTTCCAACCCTCTGCCTTTGATCAGTTTCCCACCCAAAGCCCAGGAGCAAGGATTACAAAAAACACGTATAGCTTGTAAACATATTTACATAGTGTTAATTATCTCTGCCAATTCTTATACATAAGGCCGTATTCAATCGGGAAATGTTTCTACAATCCAGATCGTACGTGCAAGTCTAGTTAGCGAAGAAAAGAATATTCCTCTCGTCCATCGCTTTTCGACATCAACTGCCGATCATCATCATCAAGCGACTGTCAACCAGAGGCAGGGGTGGGGAAGGAGGGAGGGTACATATAGTCGTAGAGGGATTAGAGGATCAAGAGGAAGAAACTGGTCGGTACAGGGCAGGCTTTTCCCACCACCACAGGAGCGGTCCAGGGAGAGGAGACATTGAACGATTTGGTGACAGGATTCGATCCATCCATCTGGCGTCACCGCTCGTCATGCCCTCGAAAATTTGCTTAGCGCGCCGACGATGGGTGTATCTAGTGCCCTCCATGGATCTTTCTAGCGCCCTTTAAAGCTCGATGGATTGTATCTATTACCCTCCATCAATCTATCCTTCGAGCAACACCCTCCATCATGGCCTAGCACACCACCGGTCTATAGCACTCTCATCAACCACCCCCCCAAAAAGTTTCTTTGGGGCAAAAAAAAAAGACTTGTCTACCCTGTTGGCTCCATCGGCTCATCGAGAGAGTCCCACCCCCCAAAAAAATAAAACGGCCTTAAAAGTGAGGGCATTTCGCGCTCGTCTAACCTCACTATTGCCTTGCAGTAAGTAGACTAATAATTGGTCTCACTTAAAACTTTCCGGGCCTACTTATACATGGATCGACACCACAAGCCCTTACGACCACCGCTTCAGAACGGTCCCTCTTTTCGATCGAGCAAAAAAAAAAAAAAAAAAAAAACATTCTTGTTGTAGAGCACCGAAAACAAAAACAAAAACAAAAACAAAATAAAACAAAATAAACATCGGAAAGATCCTTAAAACAAAGTAATAGAGTTGATGGGTTGTTGGGAACCACATCCTCAAACATATTGGGGTCCGATCCGCATCTCATTTCGTCATAACCCCTCATCGACTTGTGTCCAACCACAGCCCAAGACGGTGGGGGATGACGATCGTAAGAAAAAGACTTATTGGGGTGTTTTTTTTTTTTGGAAAGTGTGTCCTCTGGACCATGGTCTGGTGTAAAGAATTTTCAAGGTCGCAGGGTCATTCGGCAGGGTGCAGGGAGGATACTCAGATCCTGATGATGGTATGAAAAAGTAAGAAATGATAAATTTTAAATTTAAAATGTTTAGAGAGTGAAAACAAGATAAATCCCATGAGGGGAAAAGAGCGAGTTCGAAAAGGAAAGACTATTTATAAGAAGAAATCGACACGCGACAGGACCTTAACATTCCTTGACGCGCCTAACTACATATTATGTATAATTAGAAAATAGAAACAACATAATATGTATATAGACATAGAATTTAGAATAATATGTATATAGACGTGGAATGTAGAAAACTTTTATTTAGAAATAAGAAATTTTAAGGAAAACAAGATTTTTTTCTAAAACAACAAGAAATGAAAATTTTGTTTCGTCCTGAGGTCGTCGATTGTTGACAAAATGCCCGGCCATGTACCTAAAGCAAAGTTCGAATAGACTTATCAGCAGGTAATCTGATCGATTTTGAGCCAAATTTTTTATGAAATTGTTCAATATAAGGATGCATGGATTCTTCAAACATCCCTCCCTTGACCCAAGAATCATCCGCCACTGAGCCTCCACGCCATCGCACTAAATATTTGTGTGACTTTTGCGTACGTGTGGGTGCCCAATACCCAATCAGAGCTTCCACATCCTTCTCATCCCAAAATTCAGGATTGGTCGTCGTCGGTCCTCTGGGGGCGTTAGGACCAATGCGATTGGGGAATCCTTGGGGGTCAACAAAAGGGAGTAAGAGGGAAGTGTGAAACACGGGGTGAGTTCTGGAAAGATATTCGGGAAGAATCAGACGATATATGTCCTTTCCCATGACCTGGTCTATGCAGAACGGGCCCAGTCGCTTGAAATCCAGCTTCCCCGAGGGGCGGGTAGAAGTGATGTTCCTGCGCAAAAGCCAAACCCAGTCCCCTGCTGCATATTCCGAGGCGTCCCTAGTTCGTTGATCAAAGTAAGTCCGTTGGACCTCCTTTGCTCTCAACAAGTTTTCCTGTAAGGTTTCCTGGACATCCGTCAAATCCGTGAGAAGACGTTCCGCAGCTGGCACCGTAGACCCGTCACTAAGAGTATTAACCCGCGGATGAAAGGCATACTGAGAGAAAAAGGGGGAGAAACCAGTGGAGGAGGAAACAGAGTTATTGAAAACGAGCTCAGCTATTGGGAGAAGATCCACCCAATCGTCCTGGCGATCCGATACAAAATGCCGCAAAAAGGTTTCAACTGTTTGATTTGCACGTTCAGTTTGACCGTCTGTCCGAGGATGATAAGCTGTTGAGGGGGCGGGCTTGATTCGGAGGAGGCGTTGCACTTCCTTCCAGAACTTTGAGACAAATAAAGAACCTCTGTCAGAAACTATTTTGTCAGGCAGTCCATGAAGTCGAAAGATTCGATCAAAAAAAGACGCAGCAAATTCTTCCGCGGTCCAGGTCTCGTTTGCTGGAATCAGATGTATGCCTTTTGAGAAATGGTCCACCACGACCAGTA